GTCAATTTTATCAAATTCTTTTAAATATCATTATTGGTTTATTACAGTAGATTTATATAACGCAAATATAAATAAATCAGCACAATAACATAGTCACAAAGTTAAAAAATAAATTAAAAAATTATAAAAGATATTGATTATTAGTAAAGTTAAATCATTAAAGGGTATGATTGTCTCGTTAAATCTTGAACATAGCGAATTTTTTTTAAAAATGTGTCACCATCGTTTATGAATTTTTTTTAAGTGTCAATATTGTTAAACGTTTTTTCATAAAAAAACACCTATATTGATTCATTACGGTAGATTCATGTAGCATCAATATAGATTAATCAGAATAATAAACTAACCATTAAGTCCAAAAAAGAAAAAATCACAAAAAATAAGTCGTTGAGTGCAAAAGATCACTAAAGAATGTTATCGTCTCGTTGAGCCTTGAATGTAACAATTTTTTTTCCAAAAAAATGTGTCACTATACTCAACGTTTTTTCAAAAAGTAAAACATTAATATTAGTAATTTTTTTATTTAAAAAAAGCATCAATGTCGACTCATTATAGTATAATTCTATAGCGCGAATACAGATTAATCAGAAGAACAAATATTGTCACAGAATCAAAAAAAAAAGAAGAAAAAAAACTTTAAAAGGTAAGTTGATTGATTGTTACTAAAGTTGACTCACTAAAGAATTTGATTGTCTCATTGATCCTTGAACGTAACATATAATTTTTTTAAAAGTGCCAATATTGTTAACAGATTATTTTTTTTTAAAAAAAGAAGCATCAACATTGATTCATCAAGGTAGATTTCTATAGCGCAAATATAGATTAACCAAAACAATAAATATAATAACAAAGTCAAAAAAGGAAAAACCATAAAGGATAGACTGTTGACTAGGAAAGTAGAATCACTAAAAAATATGGTATGCCAGAAAAGGATAAACTAAGAGGGTGTTTGGATTGGTTTAAAAGTTGGTCAAATCTATTTTTAAGTTGGTTTTTGACTTTTAAAGTGTAAATATAAAAAATAATTTTAAAAAAGTCAAAAATAACTTAAGATAAGTTAAAAGTGTTTGGCAAGGTAAAAAATGACTTAAAATAAGTTAAAAATCAAAAGTAGGTCTCCCCCTACTTTTTATTTTTTGAGTTTTCATTTTTGACCTAAAAACTACTTTTTTAAGTCAATCCAAACGGGCTCTAAGTATAAGAGATAAGTTGATTGATTGTTAGTTGTTACTAAAGTTGAATCACTAAAGAATATGACTATCTCGTTGAACCTTGAATGTAACTGCCTTTTTTTTTTTTTTTTTTTAAATGTCACTATTGTTAACGATTTTTTAAAAAAAACACACATATATTATCAACGATTTTTTAAAAAAAAAGTACTAACATCGGATCATTACAATAGATTTCTATTGAGCGAATATAGATTAATCCGAACAATGAACATAGTCACAAAATCAAGAAAAGAAAAAAAATCATAAAAGATAAGTTAAGTGATTATTATGAAAGTTGAATCACTAAAGAAAATGACTGTCTTGTTGATCGTTAAATGTAACAATTTTTTTGAATAAAGTCCTACTATCGTTAATGATTTTTCAAACAATAGCATCAACATTTAATGATTTTTTTAAAAAACACCAATATCAATTTGTTACGGTCTTTTATAGCGCGAATATTTATTCATTAGAACATCAAACATAGCCACAAAGTCAAAAAAGGAAAAATTATATATAAAAAATAAGTTGAGATTGTTACGAAAATTGAATCACTAAAGAATATAACTTTCTTAATGAGTGTTCAATGTAGCGGTTTTTTGAATAAAACGTCACTATTGTTAACAATTTTTCAAAAAATAGCGCCAATATTTAACAATTTTTTTTAAAAAACACCAATATCAATTCGTAACAATAGATTTTTGTAGCGCGAATATAGATTAATCAGAACAACAAATATAATCACAAAATCAAAAAAAAAAGAAAAAATTGTAAAAGATAAATTGATTGATTTATATTAAAGTTGAATCACTACATAATATGACTATCTCGTTGAGCCTTGAAAGCAACAGTTCTTTAAAAGAAGCGCGACTATAATTAACAATTAGCGGCAACAATTTGATTGATTGTTACTAAAGTTGAATCACTAAAGAATTTGATTGTCTTGTTGATCCTTAAACGTAATATATATATATATATATATATATATATATATATATATATATATATATATATAATATATTTATTTATTTATTTTATTTATTTTATTTTTTAATTATTATTATTATTTTATTTTATTTTTAAAAAAGTGTCAATATTGTTAACATATTTTTATTAAAAAAAGTAGCACCAACATCAATTCATCAAGGTAGATTTCTATAGCGCAAATATAGATTATCAAAACAATGAATATAATCACAAAGTCAAAAAAGGAAAAATCATAAATGTTAGATTTTTGAATGAGAAAGTAGTCACTAAAAATATGGTAAGTTGACTGATTGTTACTAAAGTTGAATCACTAAAGAATATGACTATCTCGTTCAATTTTGAATGTAACCACCCATCTTTTTTTTTATAAAAAAAAATGTCACTATTGTTAATTTTTTTTTAAAAAAAAAGTAGTAACATCGGATCATTACAGTAGATTTTTATAGAGCGAATATAGATTAATCAGAACAACGAACCTAGTCACAAAATCAAAAAAAGAAAAAAATAATAAAAGATAGGTTAAGTGATTGTTACGAAAGTTGAATCACTAAATAATATGACTGTCTTACTGACTGTTGAATGTAACAATTTTTTTTAATAAAGCACCACTATCGTTAATGATTTTTCAAAAAATAGCGTCAACATTTAATGAATTTTTCAAAAAACACTAATATCAATTCCTTACAGTTTTTTATAGCGCGAATATTTATTCATTAGAACATCGAACATAGTCACAAAATCAAAAAAAGGGAAAATTATACATAAAAAAAATAAGTTGACTGATTGTTACAAAAATTGAATCACTAAAGAATATAACTGTCTTAATAACCGTTGAATGTAACAATTTTTTTAAAAAAAAGCGCCGCTATTGTTAACGATTTTTCAAAAAATAACGCCAACATTGAACAATTTTTTTTAAAAAAAAGCACCAATAGCAATTTGTTACATAAGATTGTTTTAGCGCGAATATATATTAATCAGAACAACAAACATAATAACAAAATTTAAAAAAAATAAAATTATAAAAGATAAATTGACTGATTTTTATTAAAGTTGAACCACTAAAGAATATGACCGTTGAGCCTTGAACACAATGTTTCTGTAAAAAAAAGGCGACTATAGTTAACGACTTTTTAAAAATTAGCGGCAACATTTTTTAAACAATTTGTTTTTTAAAAAAATCATCAAACCAATAGATATTTACCGTGCGAATATAGATTACTCAGAACAGCGAACATAATCGCAAAATCAAAAATAGAAAAATCTTAAAACAATGTTGACTAATTGTTACTAAAGTTGAATTACCGAAGAATATGATTGTATCGTTGAGCCCTAAACGCAACGGTTTTTTCAAAAAAAGCGCGACTATCGTCAACGACTTTTAAAAAAAAAACGCGCCACTATTATTAACGGATTTTTAAAACAAGCACCAACATTATTAACGATATTTTAAAAACCGCACCAATATTAGTTCATTACAGTAGAATTTCTATAGCGCGAATATAGATCAATCAGAGCATCGAACCTAGACTCGAACCCAAAAAAGGAAAAAAAAATGAGACAGGCGGCCGATAAGCGCGCCACATCATGGTAAAAAATCCAGCTAGGAGCAGACATATCAAATATTCACTTGTTTTGGTAATTAGAACAACCCCACCCCCCCTAAACCCCCTACCCCAACCTCACATTGTCATTTTCACCCTAGCAGTAGCCGTACATATCCACTATATATATATTCTCTATTGCTTTTCCTTTTTCATTTTACTGTTCGAAAATTAAGAAAAAAAGCAATTGTAAGTAATACTAGAACTTGTTTTTGTTAATTTTGAATGATTAATGATGTTTCCTTTGTGATTTTAATTTGATATATACATTTGTTTTTTGTTTTGTTTATTGAAAGGGTAATCGATCGAGACGTGGAACAAATCAATTTGTATTGACTAGCGTGCGTTACTCTCTGGTAAGTCAGCTCTTAATCTGCTAATCACTAATCAGTAATCAGTAATCACCATTTTTCATTTTAATTAAACTTCCATTAATTTAATTAATTAATTAATCTACTTTTGGATCCCAAAATGAGCATCTGGAGTTATGGACTATTCTGGAACTGTGTTTTTGTGTGTGGATTTTCAATAGGTCCACACAGAATCTGAAGCTTTTTTCTATTTTACTTTATACACAGAAAAAATAATATTCTAAAGTCTTTTTTAACTTTTATGCACTTTTTTGTTGATGGAAGAGTCAACAGAGACTTTTTTTTTTTCTTCTGATTTGTTGGTTTCTTGCAGTTTTTTTTGTAAGGTAATGAAAAGTCCACTTTTTTTTTAAGTTTCTTTTATCATCACTTTTTCTTGTATATATACTGGTTTATTTATCCCCATTTATAAAACCTTTCATTTTCTTCTTTTATGGTAGTGATCCCACTGTTTTTACAATGACAGCTATAAGCAGTCAAAACCCATATCTCTTTGATTGAATGAATGAAATACTCTTCTTAGGGTTTCCTTTTTATTGTTTTGGCCAACCCATTTTTTTCTCTTTCTCATTTGCTTAAAGAGAGGAGTTAGAGGGGAAGGTGCAATAAGGGTTCTTGGTTGTCTTATACCAACCCCCTTTGCTTCTTCTTTAATTTTGTGGGTTTGGGTTGTTGAGTTTTATGTTCATCACTAATCTTGGACTAACAAAAAATACTTTTTTGTGGGTGTATAAATATTAAAAGTGTCTTGGGAGTTTTGATGGGAAAGTTGGGATCTTGAAAGTGATTGAAAAGAGTCTTTTTGAGATTAAAGTTTTGATTTTTTGATGAGTTTTGGAGGTTTTATTGGAAGTAGTAGTGGAGGAAACGGTGGTTCTGGGGTTTCAAGATTGGTGGGTGATAGTTCATACGAAGCCATGCCTACTGCTACTATGGCTCAGTCACAGCTTATCACATCATCTTTATCTCATTCAATGTTTAACTCTTCACCGTTATCTCTTGCTCTTGTAGGCCTCCTTTAAATTAGTACTTTTTTTTTTTTTTGTTTTTGTTGGTTGGGAATTGGGATTAATAGTGGAATTTTTCAGAAACCGAAAATGGAAGGTGCTGGTGATTTGAGTTTTGATGCTGCTGCTGTAATGGGAAGGAACTCCAGAGATGATGAGTACGAGAGCAGGTCTGGGACTGGGAGTGACAATTTGGATGGTGTTGGATCGGGCGATGAAATGGAAACTCACATTGGTAGCTCATCGAAATCGGCAAAGAAGTACCATAGGCATACTCCATACCAAATTCAAGAGCTTGAGGCGTAGGTGTTAAACCACTTTATGTTTATAGTTTGTTTGTGAATTTTTTATTTATCTGTCTTGTGCTGACAGTTGCTTTAAGGAGAATCCACACCCCGATGAGAAAGCAAGGCTGGAACTTGGTAAGAGATTGACATTGGAAAGCAGGCAGGTTAAGTTTTGGTTCCAGAACAGGAGAACCCAAATGAAGGTAAATGACAACACATTCACATTATTTTCTTGTGTGAAATTTGTTTCATTGTGTGAATGTATAAGTGAAAACCTACATTGTTTCAGACCCAGATGGAACGTCATGAAAATTCAATGTTGAAGCAAGAGAATGATAAGCTTCGTATTGAGAACATAGCGATGAAGGACGCGATGAGAAGTCCAGCTTGCCCACATTGTGGTGGTCAGGCAATTCTTGGTGAGATACACATTGAAGAGCATCATTTGAAGATTGAGAATGCTCGACTGAGAGATGAATACAATAGGATCTGTGTCGTGGCAAACAAGTTTCTGGGTAGGCCGTCGGAATCTTTCCATGGTCCTATGTCAGCTGGAATGGCTAATTCAGGTTTGGAACTTGCTGTGGGAAGAAACGGCTATGGTGCTATGAATTCTGTTGACACTGCATTGCCAATGGGACTTAATTTTGGCAATAACTTCTCAAGTGCTTTACCAGCAATTTCACCTAGGCCCACCCTGAGCATGGCTGGTGTAGGTGTATCCTGTGATAAGAACATGTTAATGGAGCTTGTTTTTGCTTCCATGAATGAGCTGATTAAGCTGGCTGATATCGGTGCTCCTCTGTGGCTTAGAAACTTTGATGGAAGTGCGGAAGAATTGAACCTTGAGGAGTATGCAAGGTCTTTTCCTCCATGTATTGGCAGGAAACCTGCCCACTTCTCAGCAGAAGCAACCAAGGCAACTGGTACTGTGATGATGAACAGTCTGGCCTTGGTTGAGAGTCTGACGGACACAGTAGGTTCCTTCATCCTGAAACCTGTAGTTGAGATTTTGATTTCTTTGAACCATTGCTGAATGTGAAAATGTTTCTCCAATTTGCTTCTTGACATATGATTTTCTTTTTTATTCAAGGGGTGTTGCATTAATGGCTGCATGTTCTTTTGATTAAAATAACTTTTAACTTTCAAGTTGAGGAAAAAAGCATTTTGTTGGCTTTTGTTCTTGCTTTCCATGTAACATGTAACTTCTACTTATGCAGAGTCGATGGATGGATATATTTTCATGCATTGTTGGCAGAACCTCTACAATTAATGTGATCTCCAACAGCTCAGGTGGAAGCAAGGATGGCAATTTGCATTTGGTACGCTTTTGTTATTTTGGTGGGAGTCACCCATCCTAAGTTACTTTTCTTGCCTGTCCTGCAATAGAGGTCTGAAAATATTGTTTTGCAGATTCAAGCTGAGTTCCAAGTTCTGTCTGCTTTAGTTCCTGTCCGTAGAGTAAAGTATCTACGCTTCTGCAAGCAACATGCTGAAGGTGTCTGGGTGGTGGTGGATGTGTCTATTGATGCTATCCAGGAAGGTTCAATACCGCTTGATGGAAATTGCAGGAGGCTCCCTTCCGGATGTATCGTGCAAGACTTGCCCAATGGGTGCTCCAAGGTAACTAGTCCATTTATGTTTTTCCATTTAGTATTCCATGCAGTGCTCAATAAGTTGCTGAAATTTACCCAGCTAATTGTTCAATGTAGATTTTTTTTCTTGTTGGTTTGTGTGTTTGTATGTTCTTAATGAAGGTTTCTCTTGTCATTTTGCTCACATAGTTTTTTTTATGCACTTCATACTATTTGGTTTTGGTGTGTTGATTCTCTTGACCTTTGCTTCTGAAATATATTTTATCCTCAGCATCTTTTGGAAGTGCTGTCAGTAAAATAATCTGACAGTTGTAGCCTAAGAATCTGAACCTTCTATTGTTATTTTATTCTGTAGATGCTTCTGTATGTTTATTTATGTTATCATCAAATTCAAGGCTAGATTTTTTCATATTTGCTTGGTTAGGCTTCTGTCAGATTAGAAAATTAGTTAATCGAGGATATCAAACTTACAGTATTGCAAGATGCCTCAACTCCTTTTTCTGTGTCTTGAACTTTTAAATTTATGATCATTGTGTGAAGGCAAAGCCTCGGTAGTTTCATCTTAACTGTATAAGCAATATAGTGTGATGCTTCTGTACAACACCCTTGCACATGCTTGTGAAACTGTGCTTGCATGGTGTGTACTTGATACCACTTGTGTTGTTTGACCTCAATATAGACTTCTATTGTACTCAACCAATCTAGAAATTCAAAAGTGATCTTATTTGTGTAAATAGTAATTTCGTTTAACTTATCCTCTTATATTCTATTCTTCATTTTCTTGCAAAATCACAACTTTTCACATTTTGCACCGAGTTTCCTCTTTTGCATCCTATCTTTTTGAGTGATTATAAACAAGTAACTCTAATCATTTCCTTGCATCCTATCTTTTTATTCCGGAATTCCAACTTTGCGTAAACTAAAGATACTGGATACACAGATTGATCTATGCTCTTTTGAAGCATATAATCCTTTAATTGTCTTGAGTTGCTGGTTAAGTTGCCTCCATGCAGACCAATTGATGTCAAAGCTTATCTTAATCTACTCAATTTCTGTGTACAAAACTGCTAGCAAAATTTTGACGGAAAATTTCAGGTTATTTGGATTGAGCACACGGAATATGATGAGAGTATCACCCACAATTACTACCGCCCATACATCAGGTCTGGCCTGGGGTTTGGTGCCCAACGGTGGATTGCCACCCTACAAAGGCAATGCGAGTTCTTGGCAATCATGTCTTCTGCTGTGCCCAGTGGTGATAATTCAGGTATCACATCATATTGTTCATTTGACACTCTCCAACTTTGAAATGATAATGGATTCTTATCAAGTTTAATTATTGGCAGTGGTTAGTTCCAGTGGACGGAGAAGTATTGCAGTGCTGGCTCGACGCGTGACTCGCAGCTTTTGCGTTGGGGTTTGTGCGACCTATTACGACTGGGAATCAATCCAATCAGGGACTGCAGAGGAGAGTAAGTTGATTATGAGGAAGGGCGTTGGTGAACCTGGTGACCCTAATGGTATGGTGTTGAGTGCCAGCAGGAGCCTCTGGCTGCCGGTAACACATCAACGTTTGTTTGACTTCCTGCGAAATGAACAGACAAGAAGTCAATGGGATGTCTTGTCCCAGGGTGGTTCCGTGCACCCAATAGTCCACATTGGCAAGGGTCAGGATCTTGGCAATAGCATCACTCTGTTTCGTACTACTGTAAGTGAAACTGGTGTGGGCTTTTAGAAATTTGGTACAAAACCCCACACAAATTAGTATTAACCATTGATTGAAATTGTGAATAACTGTTTTGGCTTGACTTGCAGGTGGCTAACAGTGATGGTAGCCAAAACAGTATGTTGACCTTGCAAGAGTCGTGCACAGATGTATCCGGTTCAATCATAGCATATACACCACTTAATAGTGGAGACATGAATGTTGTGATGAGTGGTGGAGATTCCTCCTGCGTGACATTCCTTCCATCTGGATTTGCAATCATTCCAGATTGTTATGATGAGAATTCGAATGGGGTAGCAGCACTCGAGAATGGTGGTAAGATTAATGGGTGTCTATTGACCATGGGATTCCAGATACTAATGACTAACCCGCCTACAGGAACTCTCACTATGGATTCGGTGAACACTGTGAACTCCCTCATCACCCGTACAGTGCAAAACATCAAAGTTGCTTTCCAGTGCAATTAATTGGCACTACAAGTTGAGTTGTGGTGCATGTAGTAGTATACAAGGAAGGTTATAGAAAGAAGACGGGTTTGAGTCAATGAACGAACCGTGGTGGTTCCTCAGGTTGACTAGTTAGTTAGTTAGTAAGTATTTGGCATGGTGTTTGATGGAGGAGATTGGTGTGGTTCGCGTATTGACTTTGGTGGCCCTTTTAGATTATATTATTGTGTGATATGATACACACTACTCTCTTATTACTGTTGGTTTGAATCAATCTTTTGTGTTTTTGGCTGTTGTTAAACGCTCTAAACTTATTTGCATGGTTTTTAATATATTTGGATTTAAAGATTATTTGATTTTCGTCGTGGCTGGCTTTAAAATATTATGATTGGTACTCCCCTATTCTGCAAGGGATACTTACAGTTACAGCAAAGTATTCATTTGATTTTACCTGCAAAGGTAGAGGTAAGATTGACCTCCTTATTGTGTGATTATTAATTTCACTTTTGTTTTTATCTTTTTCTTCTTCCTTATTTTCCTTATTATAAAAAGGGACAACAGCATATATTTATACTGTTGCAATATACTATGAGACTAACATAATATATATACATAGTGTATTATGCTCTCTCCACAAGAAAGATAAATAAATAGTGGAACTTTATCACTTGTTTCTTTCCCAAATAGTCTAATTTTTGTGACAATTACAAAGAGTAGCAAACTCACCACGATAAAAATAAAATAATGGGAGGCAAAAGAGTTGGAAGTGAGAATATCCAACATGACATGTGAAAACTGTACTACTCAACTCATTTAACGTTAACTTCAATTTTTGTACAACATATACTATGATATATACATATGGTTCTTATTTCTTACGAAAAGATAACATGTGATTTTCCCCTCTGGTTGGTTCCTGCATTGGGAACTTCAATGAGGTTTCATGCATGGAAACAAGGACAACATATATAGCCTGTTCGACTAAATTTTTATAATATTTTTTTTTTTTTTTGTAAGAAATGATTATTTGAAAAATATTTTTGACGAATAGCTAGTTATGCTTTGATTGTTCAATTTTAAAATATTTCTGTCAATACTAGAGCAACAATTTATGTTCCAAAATCGATCTCAAGGAAAAGTTATTTTATACTGTTGTTTCAACATATACATTTATATGTATATACGGAAATGGTGCCACCAATCAATTAGGACAGTAAGTATTTAAGGCTTCGAACATGGACACATTATGGAATTTGTCTACTGTTTTTAATTTAAAATGCCAAAATAATCACTCAAGTCCCATGCATATATAAATACATGTTACGTATATATTTATTGATTTGGTCTTGAAGAAATTAAATTGAGTAGGAAATAATACCTAACTTAAAGTATAACAGAGGGTATTAACATACCATTTATGATAATTCAGAGATATATTTGTCCTTTTTCTGTATAAAATAATGTGTGATTGTAGCAGTCCATTTTAATACGTAGTGTTCACATGCGACCAAAATTATTGTGGCCTTCAGGGATTTTTCCTTTGCTTATTTTTTTATAAAATGAAAAGTATCGTTAAATTTGATAGTTGTATCGTTATAATTATTTTTTGGAAGAACTGCATGATTAGATATACTTCACTATCATATATACTATTATTATCTATACTTTCAAAATATTACGTATCTTGCCACTAATTAAGAGTTTCCTGCCATACATTGAAGAAAATATACTTAGATACATGTATTTTTGCTATCAGATACACAAAAATAGGGAGAAAGGGGAGGGAGATTGAGGAGGGAGGCGAACGAGATTCGTATGTAGCCCATAGAAATGTGAATCGCACTAGATACGTATCTGAGACACTAGATACATGAAAGAGTAGCGAGCGAGATGGGAGAGAGGTGAAAGAGGCCAGTGAGATTTGTTATGTATTCCAGATACATGTGAATCCACTTGGATACAATGTATCTAGAACAAATTACACCTAATTTTGATCCTATGTATCCGGGATACATGTATCTGGACGTATCTGGAGACACCAAAAATCTGATAAGATACGTAATATTACAAACTAAAGTGTATCTAAATAATTAGCTCCTAAACTAGTGAGATTTAGGTAAGTTTCCCTTTATTTTTTCTTGTGAGTAGTCAAATATGTAACTTTCTCTTATTTAATAGCCCAAAAAAGTTAAGGGCTAATAAAGGGCCTATGATGAAATTTTGCAATTTTCCCCTAAATGTGTTGAATTGTGTTGTTTTATTTGAATCCTATTTAGTCTCTGCCCACAATTAGTATAATGAGCCTACTCAGTACTAAAAATTAGATCTTCAAAATGAAAAGAATTATTTGGAATAAATGGTCAAAACACCTAATTATATAAATTAATATATGTTTTAACTTTAATATGAAATATTAAAGTATGCATAACTATCCATGTAGAGTTTAGTCCCACTAGAAGTGATCTATCTTGTTTGAAAATATTCTTAGACAATCTCCTTTGGAACATAATCGATCTTTTTCTTTGCTTAGGATAAATAACTTTAAGTAACGAAGACAATCTATCATTATCTTGCTTCAGAGCCGATATCTTGTATCGATGTAAATAAATTCAATGACTTTTTATATTCTATTTTTTTAATTTTTTTTTTAATTGTTTGACTTTTTTTCACCACAAACAGATTTACCGCGTGAATTGGATAGAGTCTCCTAATCTCGACATTCAATCACGAATCCCTTGAGCGCTTTGGCGGTGGATAGCAGCATGGGCAAAGCACTCTGCTGCGACAAGCAACCGATTCTTATTGCATTCACCAATGTAAAATAAAAAAAATAGAAAATAGTATCAATTAGTGTTGAAGTGGATTCTAATGCCGTTGGGGCATCAAATATTGCTTTTCAATATTTATGAAGAATTTTAGCAGCTCAACTGATTAGCTATCTGATTTTTCAAGTTATTGGTGAGGATATCATTTCTTAGCTGGTAAATTTGCACTCTCAATTTCTCCTTCCCCTTCCCCTAATAAAATATCAAAACAATAATTTGAAAAAGTATTTCAAGTGAAAAATAATACGTATTCACATATCTTTTAACTATCACAAATTCTTTTTTTTACTAGTGAAATTTATGTCAAAGACAAACTTCAACTTCCATATACGTAAAAAGAAATTCAATTTTACCTTCTACTTGGATATTCTTTTTAGCTTCAACCTAATATTATCAAAAAGTCAGATATGGAACGTCACATCCTTTAATTAAATTTTCTTTAATAGCTGTATTATGTAGCTGAAAGAGACTTAAAACGATGCATGTATTTTAAATTAATTGTTCCTTTAAATTATAATACTATTAATGTAATCGGCGTTGCAAATTGAAACCTACCCTCTAATTAAGAAAAAGGGATATATTTTATGCTCATTTACGATTTGAATAAAAGAAAAAGATCTTTAGATAATTAATATGAAAAAAATAAGAATCTCTAATAAAAAGGACATAAAATTAATACAAGTTTGTAAAAGTCTAAATTTTTTTTAAAAAGTTTGTAAAAAACTATAAAATCAATTTTTCTCTCAAATAATGCAGATATGTTATAAGGTACTACTTAATTAACGCTACTAAAAAACAAGGAATTAGCACAGATTAAGAAAGAGTGGAGGTCGCGGATTAGGGTAGATGGATAGAAGGGGTGGAGGGTGTCTTGCCTTGTGAAGGTTTAGCTTGTTATGATGTCTGTCGTAGTACTAGTTGTATTCATGTAGTTCCTGCTATATGTTGTTATTGTGTTTGATTATCAGTATTTTACAATTTTTAGTGTGGACTTTGTACTTTTTTCTTATTAATGATTATGCCTTCTTCATTTTCTTCTTATTTTACTTGGATTTGATGCACTTGAGCTGATGGTCTTTCGAAAATAGCTTCTTTATCTCCACAAGGTAGTAGTAAGGTCTGCGTATTCTATACCCTCGGGTACCAGACCCCACTTAGTGGGATTTCAGTTATTGTTGTAGCAACAAATAAAATTTCATACGTAGATGAACAATGAAAAACTTATGATAATTATTCCATATGCTACAAATTATAAGAAAATTCTATCAGCTAGAAGTATTTTAGCATCAGATTAACTAGAAAATCGATAAATTTCATATTTAGATTCATGTTTTCTGGTAGTATGATGAGATTGATTTATTGACTATTTAAAGCATAATGTCCTTATCAGTGTCAATTTTTTCTTAAATGAAGACTAATTTTCATGTGTTTGAGTCAATGACTCAATGATATACATAGCATGAATAGTTTTGGTGAGTGTTACGTTTAATTTGCTGGTACGTATATGGATATCATATTATAATAAAAGAACATGCATGTGTAGCTTCTACAAAAATAAAATAATTAAGAAGGAAGAATAAAGTAAGTATTTGGTAGATATTTTTGTTGAGTGAATGAAATGACTAATTAATTAGCAAGAGGCACCAAATTCCTTAATTTTCTCCATTATATATTAGCCAATGGAATCATAGGAAGTTTTACAGGTTGGTCCCACGCTAATGATGTTTAATGATGGTTGTTAAAACATTAATTACTGGTTATCTACAAAAAGAATTTGGCATTGTAGACATGATCAAATGTTATTTTTAACAAAAAGTTCTTATTACTACGATGTGATGTGAAATTAATTGAGTGTTGCGGTGTGTGAATAAGTTTCAAATGAATAATAGGAAAAAAGAAGTTGCTACTTATAAAATGTATGCGATACTTTTTATGATGTGTGACAAATTGATAGTGTAAGATTTGACTAATTGCCTTTACACGTTTGATTTGCTGACCGATTTGTCAATATTTACCTATAGCTTTTGAAGACATACACAAAGAAGATGATTATGGACTTGGTGGCCATAAATATTCGGAAGTTAATCTCAAAATTAGTCCATGAATAATGATAAGTCATATGAACGTAACCTTAGTTGAAAATATTCATATAGTCTTAACTCTCAATAGTGTCATGAGATCGTATATGATACTTTA